ATTCTAGTTTCTTACATAGGCACCATAAAGCGCCATGGAACCTCAGCAATCAGAAGACAGAGTCAAGACAGAGTCAAGAGGACTTCAGCAAGTCTGGGGCCAGCCCAGGGTTGCATAGGAATTATCAGGCCATCCAGGGTTCCATAGCAAGACCTGAAACCAGAGCTGAAAAGATGGCCCAGAAGTTAAGAGCATTAACTGCTCTTCCAGGACCTGGTATCAGTTCCCAGCATTCACTTGTTGGATTAAGGATCTTTTGTAACTCTCATTCCTAGGGATCTGATGATGCCCTCTTCTGGTCCCCTGTTGGCACTGCAGGAACATAGTGCAATATAGACAGACAAATACACATAAAAAACAAACAAAATAAAGGTGTGCACCACCATGTCCAGCCTAAGATTTATTTATTTTTATTTGTGTGTGTTCAGGTGTCTGCAGAGGTTGAAGCAGGGTGTTGGAATACTTGGATCGATAAGTTAAAGGTGTTTGTAAGCCACCCAATGTAGGTGCTAGGATTCAAACTCCAGTCCTCATGATGGGGCAAAGTGTTTTTAGCTACTGAGCCATCTCTCTAAACCCTTAAATACCTTTTGCAACAAATGGAGAAAGTCAAAAGCGAGAAGTTGCTACATTGGAAATGGCAACTCAAAGTCAATTTTATTGAGAAAAATGATAGATGTAGCTTAAGTTTGGAATTTGCTGCAATGTCCATTCTACAGTCAGAATACTGTTGGAAGTGAGCAAGTGTAAAGTGTACACATTTCTTCCTGCTTGTTTGTGCTCATTGTGACCCACATGCTCTGACTGCGCCTCCTCCCCTGCTAGAGCCCTACACACCAACAGATGCACTGTATAACCTCATTCAATAATGTCACAGTATTCACTAAGTTTTGGCAGTCAACTGTAATAGAAACCAGAGCACTAGACCCGTGTAAATACTGTGTGTTTGGCAACAATCACTGTGGTTGTGTTCTTTAGCACAGTTTCCAGGATAACCACCAGTCTGCTTGGCAACTGGACTCTCCCACAGCTAAGGCTCCAACTGTAAAGTTGGCTTAGGAGACACTTTCCTGCTGCTGATTTTGGTACTGTTGCTGCCCCCAGGAATTACTATTCAATGGTGGCATAATCCTTGAGAAAGTATGACTTTAATGAATCAATACTGTTCCATTCAGGACACAATTATAATGTGTCTTCTAGCAATAAACTATGTAAGATTATGAAATTTGGGGATGGAGGGATGGCTGAGCAGTTAACAAGGCTCACTGCTCTTGGCTTAGGATCTGGATTCCAAAAGTATCCACATGGCAGTTCTCAACTACCTAAGACCAGATCCAGGGGATTCAATATCCTCTTCTGGCCTCCAAAGGCACCAAACATGTACACACTGTACATACAAATATGAAAGCAAACACTCATACATAAAAAGCAACAATTGTTAAAAACAACAAATGAAAAGTTAGAAGCAATTATAACATAAATATCAGATCTAATTTAAAAATACCAGACATCCTAAAATACAGACATTTTATATCAAATATCATCTCCTTTTTTTTTGAGATGTCTCATTCATTAGCCTAAGCTGGTCCAAAACTTTTAGCCATCTTCCTGCCTCAGCCTGACAAGTGCTAACATTACAGACCTGACACACCATACCCAGCTCAAACATTTTCTAAGACATTTTACTTGATGATTGCTTAGGTAATGATGGAAAAGAGACTTTTCTTGTAGATGTGCCTGTGATTCATAAAAAGGGTTTCCAAACGAGGCTAGCAAACAAGGAAATAGTGGCACTTGGCTTACAACAGGGCCTGGGTGGAGCTCAGAGCAATTGATAGGGAATTTCTAGCTTCAGCAAGTGAAACCAGAATGAAACATAAATACAGCAGCCAGCAGAGACTGGGGAAGTCATCCTAGCAAGCCCACAGCAGGTGTGCACTCTTGCTCTGGAAGTGATGGTGACGCCAGTATGCAGGGCCACATGTTGTCATGTGGAACCCATACCACCCCCCAGGTTCCTGGCACAGACTGAAACAGCAGTCATCTACTGAAAGCTTTAAAAATATTTGGCCAATCAGTGAATTTAAACAAAGCAAAGTCTCATTTCAAGTTAATTTTTCATTAGTTCAGTATGCAAATAGACAAAACAATGCATTTTTTAAAGCTACCAATCTTGTTATTGTTTAATATTTTTTTCCTAAAGTAAAACCAACTAAGACAGCTAGCTCTTAAGAACTTTTAGAATACCTAGGTGGTACTTTCACACATACAGAAAATGAAAGGTTATTGTAGACCTTTCACCCCATGTTTGCTTAAAAAAAAAAGTCTCTAAGAAATGAGAAAGTGTTATTTTTACTCAAAGTGTTTAAACTGTGTAGCTTTTGCACCTTTCCTGGAACTTGCTTTGGAGACCAGGCTGGCCTCGAACTCACAGAAATCCGCCTGCCTCTGCCTCCCAAGTGCTGGGATTAAAGGCATGTGCCACCACCGCCCAGCTCTCCAAAACTCTTAAAATAATAGTAATTAGCAGCTGTTGTCAGCATAAAACTAAGATGCCCAAAGTAACAAGATTCTAAATTTCATGACAGGAAAGAGCAGGCCTCTATAATAACATTAAAAAAAAAAAAAGCCAATTTAGGTATTTTTATTGGAATGAAATTTTATATTGATTGGAATGGAAAACACTTTTGAGAAGTTTGAGGACATAAAAGATCAGGAATCTGAAAACTTGCCCTCAAAGATGTCACCACACACTAGACCAGGCTGGCCTTGAACTCACAGAGATCCCCGCCTACCTCTGCCTCCTGAGTGCTATGATTAATGGCGTGCATCACCACTGCCCAGCCAAATTATTCTTTTTACATTCTAGATTGCTGGCATAATTGACCATAGTTTTCTCAACCAACAACAAACATTTGTGGAGGAAAACCCCTCTGTTTTCTCTATTACTTGAGGGCAAATCAGAACCAATGAACTGTTTCTGTTCAGGGATGAGTAATGTTTCTTCCTTCTGGTCATGTGGAAGAGCCCCTAGGACCAAGCTTAAAGCAAGCTTAGCCATGTTTCCGAAAACCAAAGCAGAAAGGCTTGCGAAGTGAGTTAGTGAGGGTGAGCAGGTTTGGAGGTTTGATTGGTGCAGTGATGTGCTTTTCCCTCTGCCTTGTAATCAAATCAGTCCCTCCTGAACTTAAGGTTAACCCCCGATCCTTCACAAACACTGTACTGCCTAACAACATTTTTCAAAATTAATATTTGTGTTGTAATTTGTACTGTGTTCAAAATGCATTACAAAACACACATGGAAACATGGAGAATTTAACTCCCCTTCAGTATTTCAACTTTCCATTAAAATGCAAATGTAATGATTTCATTAACCAGGCAACAATACCCAGTCTTAAACCAAACCAATATCTTTTCCCTGTGAATCCCAACTTCCTGTAACATGCAATCTTATTCGTATGAGTATTTCTGAGTATAAATTTTGTCATTATAATTCTTAATTAGAGTAAAAGTACTGTGTATGACTTGTGGTTTTTTTTTTTTGTTTGTTTGTTTGTTTTTTTTAAATCCACGGATGTATTCTACTCCTCAGATAGATAGGCAAACATCAAAACATTTCCCGAAATTATAAGCAAACAACTTGGGATAAACAAAACAAAACAAAACAAAAAAAAAAACAACAACCTATTTCTATTCCAAACCATTAAAAGAGAGAGAAGATTCACTCAAAGCGCTCAAAAGTGTATCATGAAGGCATTAGCCACCAAGTTACATGTCTTAAACTCGACCTTCCCAGGAGTCTGTCCAGGCCACACTTGGTCTGGTCATAGGTAGAAAACTCTCCATAGAAACCCTATTAGCTTTCTAACAGTAAGCAAGCAGTTCTGGCGGAGAGAATCAGGATGTGAGTGAAGAGTATGGGGAGGAGAGGTGGTGAAAGACCCCCCAAAAAGAGTGAATGCCAGAGTTAAGGAAATTTGGGATGGGACTGTTAGATCTTCGCCGGGATTGGGTTTCATTTCTTTGGGCGCCCCTGACCTTGCTGTCTCCAATTCGGAACGCTTCTCCCGCCCCCTCCCTCGGCCTGCGCCTGCCTTTGTGTGTGCCTGTCACTTACCGGGGAACAGAACGAAGCTGATTTCGGGGGCAGCACAAAGCCAACTCACAGATTTGCACAGATTCTCTACACACATTTCCTAAACTGGAAGGTACAGCCCACGCAGAGCTCGTGGGCCTTGAGAAAAGTGGGTTCTGGTCTTGTTTGGGGGAGCAGAGAAACTATTCTTTCCTCTCTTACTCAGCGCCACTAACAAAACGCGCGGACTCAAGAGAGAAAGAAAAAAAACTCCACGGAGTGGATCCCGAATCCACTCACTGTGACATTTGTCTAGTGTAGTTGTCCACGGGGGAAGTGGGGGGGGGGGCAAACGTGCTGGAAGCCGGAGACACAAACCCAGAACAGGACCCAAACAAACACTACTGGAGATAAAAGAGTCAAAAACACCGGGTCAGTGTTCTTTCCGGGGTGTCTGAGGATAAACGAGGGACTCGAATGACTTACCCTAAGGACAGGGGGGAGGAGGATCAAAAAGAAAAGTGGTGATCCCCAAAGATGAGCTCTTTCAGAAAGGCAGCCCCAAGAAAATACTCACTTTCCTGACACTCAAAGGCCGGGAGAGCGGCTGGTGGGAGGTACAAAGGTAAGTTTTCTGGGTAAGGAGGGGCACACGCATTAGTAGGAAGAAGGGACCCCCAGAAGTGCAGGTTGCAGAAGAGGGGGAGGTGGTGCTAAATTAAAACTATATTTGTCAGCCATGTTGAAGAAGCTCCAGTAATTTGTGAGGCTTCCCTCTTCCCTCTTGGTATTTGTGGGTGACATGACAGTCCCCGCCAGGCCGAGAGAAAGCGAGGGGGCTTGGAAAGGGACAGTTCCGCTGCCGAAAAGAGCGAGGGGAGAAAGAGAGAGGGAGAGAGACAGGCGCGGACAGCAGCGCTCTGACCTGGTTCTGGTCCCTTAGCCTCGCAGTCCGCCACCGTCGCAGCCGGGTCTCCTTTCTAACAAATCCTACAGGGCAGCCATCTTGCTTCCTTCTGTTCCTCTACGAAAGCAGCCTCGCCTCCGCATCAATATTCATAAGGCAGTTTGACGTCTGTTCTCCCGGCTCGCCGGGGCCGGCTCTCGGGCGGCCGCCGAAGGGGCGGACGTGACTGGCATGCGAGCGGCG